ACTAAAACTCAAGGAGTATAGAAATATGTTATGCAATATTTATTATTTATCTCCTATAGTTTTCCACCTCTCTAATATACAAACTAAATTTAATTTTTTTTTAAGACAAAGAACAGGAATTTTTGTATAAAAATGAATTCTGCAGCAATATCTCATAGGAAATGCAATTGGAGTTTAATTTGTATGCACAAAGTATCAGCTATCATACAAAAATATATAAAAATATAAAGGGTTTAGCTTAGAAAAAAATTGTTCAACTTTTCAAGCTCAAGGGTCAGTCTGTGCAAATGCCTTTTGCTCTCTTTAACCTGCTAAACTTCTGGAAATAGTTGGAGGTGAAGGTGAAGGCAGAGAAAAGGGGACAAGATAAAGATCATCAATTATTCTACTAAAATTCTTTCTAGTTGTTCTTGTTTGGATACGAAGTTTCTCTAAAAGCTCCTGTTCATGAAGGAATACTCAGAGGTAAATGATTAAATTATGAGAGCTGTAACCTAATTGGCCCATCCTAGTTTTCTGGCTGACTGGGTGGTAACTGTAAAAAGATGGGGAATGGTTAGAGGAGTTGGGTCACTGGGGTTGTCCCCTGGAAAAGTGTGTCTTATCTTTGGCCCCTTTTCCCCTCTCTCCTTCTCCCTGTTTCCTTACTCTTCCAAGACCCCAGCAGTTTGACTCTGCTGGGCCCTTCCTTCATGAAGTGCTTTATCACCTTGGGTCCAGAGTAATGGAGTTTTGCCTCCTCTAAATTGTTCTTGTTGGATATTTTGGTTACAGCGATGCAAAAGCTGGTTAAAACACTCTGTTCATACTATATTGGATGGCACCTTTCAATATGGCTCCAGGAATAGAATGAAGCTATAGGAGCTTTGCATTGCATTCCAGAGTGCTTCCCAACACACAGATCCCTGTGTGACCCCAACTCTCCTTCCTTATTTCATTTATTATTCAGCTTTTTTTTCTTATTTCCTAACATCAAACCCACTCCATGCTATTCAGTTCTCCCAAAACGACACCCCAAATATTGAAGTCTCAAAGCTATCTCTTACATGATTTTCTCTTCACATAACAATGTTCCTAATTCCTCCAATCTGTCAAGAATATTACTTATTCATGTCAAAATTTGTTCTTATTACTGAATTTAAAATTTTATATTTTTTCTATGAATTATTGAAAATTATTCACAAATATGCACAATATTGTCAAATAGTAATTTTTCTCCTCTGTTTGTTCCTACAAAACTTCTCTTTCAGATTTTTTTTATTATTTTAAAATTTGTACTCAGCTTTAGTAAGGCATAATCCACAAATAAAATTGTATATATTTATGGTGTATAATGTGACATTTTGATACATACATGCATTATAAAATGATTAAATCAAGTTAATTAATATATGCATCACCTCACATAGTTAAACATTAAAAATATACTCTCTTAGCAATTTAAAAATATATAATACATTAATATTAGCTGTAATCACCATGTTGTACAATAGATCTCCAGAACTTATTCATCTTGTGTAACTGAAACTTTGGACCCTTCAACAAACACCTGTACCAGTATTGAATGGCAATATTGGATGGCAAAATATTTTTAAAAAACAATTTTTTTTTGTACCAGGGATTGAGCCCAGGGGCACTTAACTACTGAGCCACATAATATTTTATTTAGAGCCAGGGTGTCCCTGAGTTGCTTAGGGCCTCGCTGAGTTGCTGAGGCTAGCTTTGAACCTGGAATCCTCTTGCCTCAGCCTTTTGAGTTATTGGGACTACAGTGTGCACCATCAGGCCTGGCAGTTTGACTTTTTCTTTTTGATTCCATATATGTCCCACAAAACTTATTAGATTAAATTTTATGTTACAATTGTTTATTCTACTCTCCATATATTTGTGTTCTATTCTGAGTTATTTCTTTATAATAGATTTATTTATCTTTTTTCCTGGTCCAATCTGTTATTTATCTCATTGTTTAGTTTTCAAAAATATCTGTTATAAAATATTTCAAACACATATCAGATAGAATAGTGTAATGAACCCCTCTGAACTCATCAATCTAAGACAATTACCAATTTATTGTGACTCTTGCTGTATCTGGGTCCACTTCTGCTTCTGTATTATTTGGAAGCAACTTTCAGATAAATAAACAAATAAACACTATCCCAGTTACACTGTTTCAACTTACTTTTTTTTTTTTTGGTCTTTTTCACAGTAGTGAGAAAACAGTACTTACTCAGTAGAAAACATACTTTGAATTTTGAATTTTTATCTTTTTCTGGACAGAAGATTTTCGGCAGAATACCTTGTAGCAATAGCAAGCTACTGCTTCTAATGAGATACTTGATCATAAGCGTAAATAAGCAATATTCTACTATATACTGTGTTGCTCATTATGCTGTTCAGTAGGTGGGATGTATTAAATGCATTTGGACTAGTGAGATTTTCCTCTTCTGTTGGGTTTATCAAGATGTAACCCCATCATAAGCCGAGGAGCATCTGCACTTTCAATTTAATTATTTTTCTGAGGTGTCTCTCATTTTGAATGATGGTATCATTTTCCTATTTGAAAGTAAATAATAATTACTTAATATCAAATAGCTATACTGCTTACATTTGCAACTGTCATTTACATATGTTAACTTATAAAAAGATTATTGTTCAAATCAGGCTGTAATTGAAAGAAATTATTAATGCTTAATAAGTCTTTTAGGTCTACTTTAATCTCTAGAATCCCCTTTGCTGTCCATCTCATTTTTTCCTATTATTTCTTGAAGAAATCAGATTATTTGTCCTGTAGTTTCTTACCATCTGGATTTTGCTCTTTGTGTCTTTGTAGTGTTTCTGAAACCATTCCTGTCTTCCATGGTTCCTGAACATTGCTTGGTGGATGTGGAGGCAAAACTACCTTTATTTATTTATTTGTTTGTTTGTATGTTTGTTTGTTTTCTGGCAACAGTCTCTTATGTGGGGCTAGCTTCTTTCATCAGGAGGCATGTAATGACTTGCTGTTTCCCCTTGTGGATGCTAGCAGTGTTCAAAAATCATTGTCTACATCCAATGTCCATTAGGGTATTCAAAATAGAGACATCCTAATTCTGTCATTCCTTCTTTATTTATTAGAGAGAATGAAAGGGTAAAGTTTCTAAGCTGCAAAGCCTGAGTTAAAATGTAAAGGACAAGGTATTGTAAAGTTTCTGAACTGCACACAGAACCTGAAATTCCTGAGGCAGTGGTACTGACCATTTAGTTATTAAATAACCTGGACCCTGTGCAGTTTGGCATGTAGGCATTCAGGGCCCAAACCAATCAGTTTGAATGTATCCCCCTCTTTAGGAGTGACCTATCACCCCCGCCTGACCTGTTCCCGCCAATGAATGGACTAATCGTGTTTGAGAGTTGTTGTTCAATTTTCCCGTGCCTCATGATGATTTGCTCTGATGTATGCAAAGCCCCCGCCCTCCCCAAAAAGTGTACTTAAGCACTGCTCAACCCCTGCTCCGGGCTCTTGGCCGCTCTCCCTTCTTGAGTGAGCCTGGAGCCCCAGCACGCTGGATTGGATCCTCAATAAATCCCCTTTTGCTGTTGCATGAGTTGGTCTCTTGGTGGTCTCTTCCTCCGAAGTTCGCCGGACCCTTACAAGAACAATTCTATAAAAGATTTCTACCACATCAGCTAATCTTATCATTTCCTGATTATTTTATCTACAAAGATTTAAAGAGAAAATTTCATGTCTACTGTCAGTAGTGGAGTTCTCAAAAGAAAGATTAATGTTATCCCCATTTAGAAGTTTTTAAAGCAATGAACTGAAAATTAGTATTCTGTAAAGATGACCTATTAGGCTTTAAAATATCATTTTAATACACAGATTTATGCTGATTTGGTGTACTGTATTTAATGTCTTATTTAAAGCTAAGATTCTCATATTTTAGATCCTTTTGACTGCCCATCATAATAGCATGCTTCCTTGCCACCAGGGTTCTCAAGATAGTTAGATAAAAGATAGACAATAAAAAAAGAATACTTAGAGAATTTAGTGAGAAATATGATATTTAGGGTAAGAAAAGGAATCCTAGTAGATTTTGCAGAGAATTTGGTATGGTAATTGGGTGGAATCTTGTGCCTATGCTAATATAAAATATATTGCACAAGGAACAGATATTGGGAGCATAGAAAATAAATTAAATCTAGAATCAATGCTGTAAAGTCATTTGCTGATTCTTTAATTATGGGTTAATTAAGGGAGATCAGTAATTGAGGGAGATGCATTTATGCTAATTCTTTTATGTTGATTAAAATATCACAATGCACTTTAATTTGATTATCATGTTTGATTTTTTTACAGAGGTAGGTAATCACACCCATTTTGTAGACACATAAGCTGAGGATTACGGAGGGTAAGCTACTTTTTTTTTTTTTTTTTTTTTTTGCTTTCCCTATAGTTTTTTTCTTTTTTTTTTTTATTGTTGGTTGAAGGGTAAGCTACTTTTAAAGTCTCCAGGCAAGAAAAGAGCAGAAATTTGACTTAAATATCTGTTTTCTCACTCCAAGTTCTGAGAGCTCTTCATTATTTCTTGGTAGAGGAAAATGCATTAATTCACATATTTTTGAAAGCTTTGTGTTGAGGATAAAAACAATGATATTCTGAATGCTTCTATTAAGTAGAAGACTCAGGTGATCAGAACATTTATCCCACTATGCACATGTTCTCCTTCACTTTGCAAATGCAAACATGTCTTACAACAGCCATGGTATACATGTGTGTGAGGATCCTCCTCAGGGAACATTCTGACAGGAAAGCTAATGCACACTGTAGCTAGAGGTCATTTTGTTCCTTAATCACTTACTTCCAAATTCACACTATTAAACACACAAGTTTAATACTCTGTCAAATCTGTTTGCATAGAATTTTTTCACTGTATTTTTTTACATTTAATTCTCTTTACTTTGGAGCCCAGAATGAAAGGATTAGAGAGTGCAGATTTCCCTTCTCCAAAAAGCTCGCTTACCTCTGTTTAACTTTATGATCTGCAGAGCCTGCTGAGAGCCTGTCTAGGGGAGACCCAAAGCCAGAAAAGCTCCTTTTCTTCTTTGTCTCTGTCACGTCGTTCTCCAAAGATACCAGCTCATCAAGGAGCAAGAGTTTTGCAGCCAGGTCAGTGGCTGACTTCTCTTCTCGGACTGTGGGTAGTGACTGCAAATCTGTGACTCCAGAATCAAAGGCCTGTAGAGCAGAGAAAGGTGGTTCTACTCTTTAGATGAAGAAACCCAAATTAGGTAAAGTTAGTGGACACCTCCTGTGTTTAGATGACATCCCTTTTGTGTAATGTTCTATACTTTCTCATGGAATTATGTTTCGCACAGAAAGCTAAACCTTTGGAGAAGGAAACATATAAAGGTAGAGTATATATATCCAAGAGAAAACAGATAAAACAAAAACTCCAGGCTTGTCTCTAAAAATTGAACATATTCTGATTATTCTTTTGATTTTGTACCACTAAGAATTGAATTCTTGCTTATCATTCTTAGAATGCTTTATCTATACCTTTTTCATCATCATATCTATTACATTTTATTTTACTTATATTAGATGGCTTACAACACATTTGTATTCCTTATTAGATTATAAATAACTTGAGGACAATGATTATCTGATTAATCTTTTATTTGTTCTATTCAATGCATAGCCCAGTATTTTACTCAGAGTTAGTACTCAATAAATAACTTACGAATATTTATTGGATGAACTCTCAAAAAAAAAAAAAAAAACAAAACTAAATCTCTTGCTGTTTCCCTTTAGTCACTCATTCGTTATTTATTTATAAAACCTATTAAAAGCCCAATCTATGCCAGGCTCTGCATAACATTGAAGGGATACAAAAATGAAGAAAATTTAGCCACTTGCATGTCCAGGGACTAAACTTCTTCATCCATGCAATTTATTCACAATCTGTGAGTATCTACAATGCATGAGAACTAACCCAATTTAATGTCAAAGTCTAGGATAAAATTTCTTGTTTGCTTAGATGTTACTATATATTGTCACTTTGTACTTCATCCAAGTTATAATATAGGTATGGATGCTCAGATTGTGAAGTCTGTTTTTTTTTTTTCCTTTCTGGGACCCAACAAAACAAAACAAAACAAATCCTCTGCTCCTATTAACCATCCCTGTCAATCTGCTGTACAAGAAGCACTGCTTCTTTTTAAGAGCCTGAGAATATTTCTCTAAGGGAGGAAACTAGCTTCAGGGGCTTTCTTCCTTTCCTCTCTCACTTCCATCACATTTTTCCATTTGCCTCATTCTTGGTCACAACATAGAAACTGAAGAAGAGATGGAATGCCAGAAAGAAACCCCAAAGAGCAGGAGACAGACCTTCAAAGGCAAAGATCTTACATTATCTCCAAAGCAGCCTTCCCAAAATATTCTTCCAATTAATATATATACAAAGTAGAGTTTTGTTCCTTTAATATACCCTTAATTCTGCAGGGGGTCGGGGAGTGAGCTATAGAATTCATGTAAGACTAAACCTTTTGTAAGATGCATTTCAAATCCTCACTTTAGGTTATTTAAGAAGTACAGAGAATACATGTTTCTCATAAGATCACACTTAATTTGATCTGGAGTTTTTTCTGTGTGGAGATGTCCTCATATTGCTTTTCTTTGTACTATGGTCAAGACATAAAGAAAACATTTATACTGTAATAAAAATACACAAAATTTGGAATGCAAACAACTTCAAACTGATTTAATTAAAACTGGTAGAGCTGGGGGCGGTGGTGCACACCTGCAATCCCAGCAGATCAGGAGGCTAAGGCACAAGTTCAAGATCAGCCTTGGCAATTTGGTAAGACCTTAAGCAACTTACCAAGACCCTATGTCAAAAGAAAAATTAAAAAGGAAAAGGACTGAGGATATGGCTCAGCAGTTAAGTGTTCCTGGGTTCAATTCCCAGTACCATCTGAAAAAAAAAGAAAGAAAGAAAGAAAGAAAAAAATGTGGTAGAAATGATATATACATATTTAATGCTTTCTACTTTAAGGAATACAAGTGTTTCTTATTTTGAGTTACTTTTAATGTTGAAAATATGTGACTTGCTCTGAATTTGCTTTGAAGGTTAATAATCATTACTATTTACATTTAAAGTTCTCATCTTGAATAACATTGGCAAAACAAACAAACAAAAAAAGCAATAGCAAAAACACCTATTTCCTTGACTTTGCATTATCAGAATATATTCCTATTTTTTAGCTGTTCCTCCTGACTATAGTAAAAATAGCTTGTGTTCATAAAAATGTTGATAAAGTCTTTCAATCTAGTTTCCTTACCTCTGTTGCTGCATCCACCGAGAGCACTTTTCCTGAGCTCCACAATATCAAAGACACAGCCAGGATGAAATGTGCACTTGCCAGTCTCCAGTCCAGCATCTATGGGTCATGTAGATCAAGGTTAGCATTGATTAGTTTTGAATAGAAATATAGAGAAAAAATCTCCTAAGAAGTATGTTATATGCACATGATAAGCCAAATTATTCACTTCTGTGTACTGGAGTGTATTTCCGCAAAACTTAAATAATACTCAATAGAAGCTGTCAGTCTTCCAGATTGAATTCAATCAAGTCTTCATTTCCACGGAAACCTAGATTGGGTTTGTATAGCTATAATAATAATAATAATAATAATAATAATTTAATTCAAAGAAACCTGGGGTCTGAGAAATTTATATAACTTTATTCTTTGTCTAATACAGAGAATGAAGCCTCACGTACCTAAGGAGAAATATGTAAAATTGGCAAGGTAAAAGAGAAAAAGGCCTGATGGGTTCTGAATCAGACAGAATGTGGTGTATCTGAAAGCATTTACATTAAAAAAATTAAAAATTATATTTTTATTATGTCAGAATTTTAATGCAAGTTTCAAAATGTACATATAGAAAAAATAGTGAAATTTCAATACAAAATGTTAAAATTCCATGTCCAATCTAATAAAACCAAAAGACAAATTACAAAATGGAAGATATTATTAATAAATATATAAAAGAAAAAATAGGATTTGGAGCATGTAAATAAGTCTGATAAATAAATTTAAAATATAGACACACAACTAAATAAAAATGGCCAAAATTATAAATGGAGATTTCATAGAAAAGGAGAGAAGTTAATGGAAAATAAACATCCCATAATATATGTAGCCTATTTAACATAAATAAAAAGAGAAATGATATACCGTTTACACAATAAGATCAGCAAGAAATTTAAGATACCACTGCATATGTTTAGAATAATGCTAGAAAAAAGAAAATATAAAAAATGCTGATGGATTTGGAAGTGGATCCTTCCATTTGAAAAAAATTTGGCATAAGGATTGAAAATGATCATGCAATACCTATGATCTTTTATTTTGTTTCTGGGTATATATCTCTGAGAAACTCTTATAAACTTATTAGGAAGTCTGGAAGTCCAAACCCTTATAGTAGTAAAAAGCTGGAATCAACCCAAGTGGTCCATTCGAAAGATGAGGATTTGTCAATTGAAATTTATTTATACTATGCACTTAAAGCAAATGATTTAGATATACTTTTATTTACCATTGAATTTTTAAATGTATTTGTGGATTTCATTAAAACTGGGAGTGAGGAGTATAGAACAATACATGTGTTATGGTTTGGATGTGAAGTGTCCAAAAAACTCTTGTGTGAGACAATGCAAGAAGGTTCAGAGGACAAGTGATTGGGTTGTGAGAGTCTAAACCCAATCAGTGAATTAATCCCCTGATGGGATTAACTGAGTAATAACTGAAGGCAGTTGGGGTATGGCTGGAGGATGTGGGGCAAAGAGGGTGTAGCTTTGTATATATTTGTATCTGGTGAGTGGAGCTCTCTCTCTACTTCCTGATTATCAGGTGAGCTGATTGCCTTCTCCACACTCTCTTACCGTAAGTTTCTGCCTCACCTTGAGCCCCAAGGAATGGAGCCAGCCATCTATGGACTAAGACCTCTGCAACCATGATCCCTCAAATAAACTTTTCCTCTTCTGCAATTGTTCTGGTCAGATCTTTTAGTCATAGCAACGAAAAAGCTGACTAAAACAACATGTCATAATAACACTATATACTTGAATTGGAAATACAGAAAACAATTCCATATATTTTTTGAATATATACATATAATTAAACTGTAAACCAATAGAACTTGATTTATGAATATGTGTGCCTCAGAAGAAGAAAGAAGGTGAATAAGATTATGGAGGAAAGATAAAGAACTTGGTTTTTAATCTATAATTTTTAAAAAAGTAAATATATAAAAATTACATTTAATAATTCTGTGTAGTAGGCACAAATGTATGTTATTTATACATTTCTGATTTATACAGCCAATTAAAATTCATCTATGATTTCTATTGGGCTTGCTGATTGCCTGTTTGAATACTAGACTATGAACATTGCATAGTACAGGAGGAGACATTGTCCTACTGAGGGCAGATTTCAGGTATGAGCCAGCTGTAATAGAGTCTTTGCCACTTAATATGAAGAACTGGGAAAGTTTCTAAGGTTCATTGGTAATGAATGAGAAGTCTCAGTACACTTCTGTTTCCTTAAGGAATAATAATTTGAAAAACTTTCTGGGGGCAAAGAGAAAGAAATGCTACCATGAAATCCGAAGGACTGGGTTTGATTCTCATTTTTTGTTTTCATATTAGTGTGACCTTGTATATATATATATCATTTAACACACTTGAGCTTCATTTTACTTATATATGAAGTAAGAAGTAATTCTCACCTCATAAGAGCTTTGAGAGGATTAAATTGATTCATGCATAGCCCCTTTATATGGTATTTATAATTTGTAAGTGAAGGAATATTTATGAGCATTACTAAATATTTCTTTAATAACCACATATATTTTGGTGTGACTAAATTTTTTCTTTATGACACTTCCTTAAAATATTATCTTAAAACCTCAGTGTAAATCTTAGTGATGTATGTTACATGTTAGAATATGAACAAATAAAATTTTTGTATAAGCAGAGTAGCATCTGTATTAATCATGTTTATTGAGACTAAATGGAGATAAAAATATTTTGGCATTGTCTGTAAAATTTATTTTTATCAAATATAATTTTAATTTTCACATAGTTTAGCTCAAACTATTTGCTCATTATCACATCAAATAATTTATTTTGTAATCTTGCACTTCATACTATTCACTATATATTTTCTTTATTCCATCCTTTCCTGGAAAGAAGTAGGAAACAATTTTTTTGTTCTCTTTTTGCTAAACTGATATTTGATTTGGGTATTTTCACAATAAGTAATAATTTTTGCATAAATCATGACTATGTCTCTAAATTGAGAAAATATATGAGAAATAATGCAACCAACCAAACACTGCCTTAGATATTCCTTTAGAAAGTCAGCCACTTACTCATAATTTGTGCTCATTTTGCTGATGTTTCTTTGTCCTCCACATAAATGAAAATATGTTAAGAACAAAGGTATATTTTTAAAACTGATCTCATGTTTTATATATATTATTTTAAAATAGAGTTCTATCATTTAATCAAAGATAAACTACCACTGTGATATTTTCCTTCTTCATTTTTATTATGTTAAAAATAGGTTTTAGAGTGTGAAATTGCCCAATTTTATAAGTGTTTCCATGTGGATTTCCTTTAACTATTTTTATACACAGCTTACTAAGGTTTCTCTCCATTTCTGTAATCTTATAAATGGCACAGGATGATGGGTGTTTATAGTATTGATGATTATGTCTGAGGCATATATTTTTGTGCTTGGGTGTATATAGGAAAAAAGTCATAATATATCATCTAACAGATAACCACATCCTGATTATTTGGATAAGGAGATGTAAAAATAAATGCTGAGTTAAATACACTCATTTAATGGTTTAAAGCCAAGCTTGTAGCCAGTTAACCAAAAGGCCAAGTTCCTAAATATGGCATTTGGTACACTAATGAAAACAAGCACCCTGGCACCTGCCGCACAAAAGACATTTGATTAACCAGTTGAAACTTGACTGCTACAAAATTAGAAACAGAGGAAATTATAGGGAGGAAAGGAAAAGATTACCTTTAGGCCCATTTCCCTATTTTGTTGATAGTGCATAAATATAGCTCATGGTTTAAAAATCTCCTAAACCCCATATACACCCTGATTCATAGAGAGAACCTCAAGGGATGTTCATTGACTGTGTGAATTCACCAAAGGGGGAAGCATGTGTACCCTTTCAGTATATCAATCATTTTTATTGAATAGTATTCCTTGGGGTATTGAAGAATTTCAAAAGAGACAAGTGAGCACAGGATTTACTATATAAGAAGATTTTGTGTGTGCTTCAGTCTTAGGCAATTGGAATAGTATACTTGTTTACTTTGTAAACAATACTGCTGATGAAGAAATATTTCACATAGTCAAACATTTTCAGCTCTGTTTTACAGCCTTTCCATCTGTAAGACTTTCTATCCTGAAAGAATCTTCTGAAGTCAAGCTAGAGTGGTGGTAGATGGATCAAGAGAGAGGGATACCAACTTTTGTCATTTAAGTTGAGAAAAAAGCATGTATTGCTTATTCCTTTAGAAAAGTGATAGTTCATATTGATATGCTGCTACGAAAGTCCAGCAGACTTAAATATATTTAAACCACAGTTTAGAGAGAAGACTATTAAAATGAAGAAAAGTGTTTCATTGTTAAGAATCATTATTCAGCTTTAATGGGAACAACAAATCTCTGAAGTGGCTGGGCATGAAAAAGAAAAAAAAAAAAAAGATTGAGAATCATCATTTGAAAAAAGGGAGACCAAACTGGAGCAAAGTGCTAAATTTCAAGATGATAAAGATGAAAAAAGAGAAGCATGGTGAGGTGGTATCTGACCTAAGGCATTTTAAAACTGATAAAACTTTTAAAGTATCTCTATCTAAAGAATAAAACTTCTCAAGTGATTAAAAACATTTCTCTTCAACCTGAGACTTCATGATTTACATTTAACTTAAGGATAGTTGATCCAAGTATTAGAAACTACTGGGGTTTTGGGTGAATCTTGATATCATCTGGGAATTTTTTATTTTCCTCAATATCTTGATTGAAGATATTCAAAACAGATTCTCTGAACATTTTCAACAAAAATTAAAAATAAAGGACTTAATTAAAGATTAAAGATTTATGGCTAATTCAACTTTCACTTTTGCTTTACCTTCTCTTCTCAGTTAAAATTTTTTAACAGGACATTCTAAAAACGGAGACTAGTTCTGACACCATGAATTGGCCACGTGTTCCTGCTGATGACACTGTGTACAGACTTTTTTCTCTGAAAGTGAAGGTGGTCGTCCAAGCAGGCAGAGTCAGTATGATCAGTAAATCTGTATGACTGTGAGTTCTTCAACTCACCACTTATCCCACTCCACTAAGTTACA